GAGAGAGAGAGAGAGAGAAATGGAGGAATTAATGGGAAAATTCTGCAAAACGGTGGCGGAATTCTGCAACCACCTCCAAAACAGCTGCGCAGCCCTCAAGGAGTCCGTCGATCGCCGCCCGATTCCACTCGGTACATACTCCTCACTGACCCTCACCCGCTGTTAATTAATCATTTAATTTGCTAAAATACATTTTCATTTCGCATTTAATTCATAGACTCTGCATCCACAACCTTCGTGCAAAGCGTTAACAGGAGGGTATCGACCGCCGCCAGTGACTTAAACGTGCTGGAATCCATGTCGTTTGGGACGGTGTCGTTTGAGGAGCTGCTGGGACATTGCAATGAAGTGTTGAAGAATACTCAAAACGACGTTTGTGTACTCGAGGACCACCTTCGCTCCTCCTTCAACTACATTCCTCCTCGTCTGTTTGCCTCTCTTAACTCAATTTTTCATTTTCTGTAAAATGTGAATGCGTTAATAGTTTTTAGGTTCTATTAATAATTTATCTTTCATTATTTTTCTGTTTCTATTAGTTGATTTTGATGATGATGACGTAGAAGACAGCAGTTTGGATAATTTCTCGGTGGAAAACAGCAAATCGGACTTGAAGGTTAATAGTATAGAAGAGGACCCTTTGTATCCGTTCTAATTTACTTAGTGAAATCATATTATGTTTTACACGCTTATCTCAGTTCAATATCTTGATGCCATTGATGTCCTAGTATTATGATTTCATAAGTGGAGGGCTGAGATTTTCTTGTTACAAACTTAACATATGGTAGACTTGATGATTCGTTGAGTTTAAAGAATTTCGGAATCTCAGATGTTTGTCTTGCAACCATAGCATCTCAAGGTCAGTTTATGTTGTTTAGGCCACAGCTAAAATAATTTACTCATTGTTTTTAAAAGCTCTATTTTTAAATTTTTTTTCCTTCTAAAATTACTTTTCATGTGATGTATTTGGTACAGCTGACCGTGATTTTGAGATGGAAGAACCTTATCATCGGTTCCCTACTGAAAACTTGGAAGCGATGGAAGGTGGGAAAAATCTCCAGTACTCAGTATCAAAGTTTTCTTGATTGTCATTGTTATTTGACATGTGTAGTTGTTTTTAATTTTTAATGATTATAGGAGAAATTGAAGATGATTTCAAGAAATATGAAAATTCTAAACATCTTATAAATGTATCAAGAGATGAATATGAGAGTCTCCCAAAATTCATGAAGAACTTGACTTCTTGGGAGGTAAGAAAATATTTTTCATATTTACAGCCAGTTTGATGTTAGATTTTTTGAGAATAAATTTTTGTGAAAAGTGATTTTTTTTTTTTGGGAGAATGTGGTTAAAAAAATAGAAGTTGTCCACGTACAAAATTATTTTACTAAGAGAGTGCATAGTTGAAAATGAGTTTTAAGAAAAAGTAAGTTTTAAAGAATCTATACCAACAAGAGCTTATTGTTGCTCGCTTATATCAGCCAAGAAATGTTCTTTGGTTCATTCATATGTTGATAAAGCATTTTAGTTTTTTATTCACGCACAAACTATGCTCCAAACATTGAAGTGGTTAGTTATTCATCTGAACTGTGGAGAATCAAATTTGGAATGCATAAAATAGCATTCACATAGTATTGTCATGCTGCAGATACTTTAGAATTGTTAAGTAAACAGTTCTTCTTCAACATTGAGATTGCG